TTCCATTTTCTTACTTACTTAGTATTTAATAAGTGTGCCAGACGTGTACTCATGTATACGTGTATTTTCGACAGAAATAAATGCTGTATTTGCGCAGTACTCTAAACTTAATCCGAATAATTTCACATCTCATAATAATATACGTGAACTAGTCTTGGATCAAATATTACCTTTTATCTGGGGGCACCACAACTGATACATTAAACCCACCAATACGAGTATTCCGATCCCATTCAAAACTCATCAATTTCGGCAGTCAGCAACTCCTTACCTTATGCTAATTATCTTTGTGTACTGATAGTACTACGAAGTGTTTTTAAATACCAGAAACTTAATTTGCATATTACTTGCAAATAAATACTGCGAAGCACAGGAAGACTGTACAGTGTTTTGATATGTTAAGTACGATCTCCTCCTGTCTATATTCATTGATAGATTTTAGTAATTCACTTCATAATACTCAGCCATAATCACTGTTATTTTCAAGTCTGAGTTGGCATTACTCTAATAATTTATGTCACGAATTTTTAGCGTACTGTTGAATAGCTACTTCTAATAGCTTTATTTTCACATCCGCTTAATTCACAACAAGCAGTAAAATAAATTCTATTAATTTGATAAATGAATTATCATTACTCTAATAGTAGTCTGTGTTCATTCTTCTGTTAACAGTAGTGGCTAAATAAGAGCGCAAAGTGTCAATGTTATAGATAGTTTCATTGCATCATTAACTAAAGCATTTAAAACCTGACAGTAATATCACATTATGAGCGGTAGATTACATCTGAGTCGGAATGAATCCGTTTTATTGATAAGATTTTTTTTCTTTGTAAGATTTTATTTGCGAAAAATGCTATTGTAAATACAAAACTGACCAATACCACTTTATATTGCAAGGCATTCATTCATATTTCGTGTTTTCATGAAATAATGATGTAAATTTTGCAGCTTCTGAAGAAAAAAGTTTATTATTATTGTTGACAGCACTGGTTTATACTTGCCATCTGTTATTGAGCTGTGCATGTGCAGGTAAAAAAAAGGAGAGACTTCAGGAGTCCGAGTACGTGGATACAGTGTACGGAAACTTGTAAGTATTTACATTTACAGTAACTTAAAAGTAACCATAACTTCTGAAATAGAATACTTGTAGATATTAATTGCTTCTAAAATATTTACTTCTGAATCTTTTCATAGTGCGTTTATATTATTCAATCATTCAGTAATATTCGCCATTACTGATTTGTTCTAGTTGCTATTTTAAGATGTTCATCGAATCTTCGACGCGAATCAAAGCAAGACTGTCAGGTAAATGGCTAGCATTTCTAATAATTAATAAAATGAAAAGTAAAATAACTTAATGGAGATGAAGAGGACCTCCAGAAACGATTCATATAATGATTAGTTGTGCGACAAGAAAGTAGAGTTTGTCTTACCGAAAAGCATGAGTCACGTCTTTCAGAGTGAATATGCTAAATTTGTTTAGACTCTTAGAAGTCTTACTTTCCTGTAAATTAAAGCTACCATAAAGACTGCAGTTGTTGCTTTATATTACTAAGTGATATTCCATTCAGAAGAGATCTTCTCGTCATTCTATTCTTAAGAATACAGTGCTTGCGAGCTCAGGAACACAGAAGGTTTGCAAAAATTTCGATCTTAATTTTATTTTATTAAATAAAAATTAATCACAGAACATGGCATTTATTTATTTAGGAATTTGGTGCTGCTTTACCCACGCAAACAACCGTAAGTTTATTACAGATTAATTTTTTTTAATCATTTCAGAATATCTATTTCTTCAGCAATAAATTCAGTGATAATTTCAAGGCAAATTAAACAGTTGCATAACTGCTTTCCCACAAAGTAACGAATTAAAATATAAGATTGTTGATAGTCTTGTAATGAGGAATCTTAGTGATGAGAGAATGAACAGTTAAGTGACTATTGAAAATGAATAATAAATGGTGCATTCCATTTATTAGACATGACTGTACCGAAGCTGTAGATATCACTGTACCAAAGGTAAAGTTTGGTTTTGGTAGTGACAAAGCTGAATAACACAGTCCAAAAAACTATAATCTTCAGTCTTTCTTCCATTTTCGTCTCCATCCATTGTAATGTAGATAATCATAGAATATTAAAATTGTGGCAGCAAGAAATTTGCTTCAATAAGGAATGCACGCTCATCTTTGTAATACAAAATTTTGAATATTTCAGTTAGAAAGCGATAAAATGCAACATATATCAGCTCGGAAAAGTGAAAGTAACGACTTGAAGATAACTAAAACACAGGAAGAATCTCATTCACCTGTTTGCTCCGTGTCTTACGTTACAATTCGTTAAATTTACTCAGATCGAACAGTCAAAAAATACAGTAACAAAAATAATCATAGAATATAATTTGTAAGAAACGACTAGTAAAAAGAAATATGACAGAAAATAGAGATCAAAAAAAGTGAATTTGAAGTAGTTCATATTAACTTCTTTCATAATTAATTAAGTAAATGCTTCAGTCGGACTACCGAATTCTGACAGATCGGTAATTCCTTCATTCCATTGATGTAATTTTGCATTAAAGCCAAGTTTGAATTTGAACCATCTTAATGCAATCAATGTTTTTACCATCACTAAAACTTTATATTTAATGCATTGCCAAATTTATATTCTGGAGTGACTCATATTTTCGATTCTTAATTGTATGAGTAAATAAATATATTATTATTAGCTATGCTGGGAATGAATACATCCAGGCTACATTATGTCTGCTACTTCTGCTCTAAAACTTCCATGCCATCAATCTTTCGCTTTCATAGCTTTATAATTCACACATCTTCTCAAAACTGCTTGCAAAAATCATCGAAGTAATTAATGGTATTCTGCAAGAAAGGAGCAAAGTAACAAAGAGAGGACATTTATAGACATAATACAATAGTGTCTGCAAAATGGACCCTCCAAGAACTCCCATGGTGCCTTTTCATGGAATTCGTTTTTACGGAAGAACTTCTATGCACTTTCCCAAGAGAATAGTATTGAGGGACAACATCTGAAATAGCACGAAAGTAATTGAAAGATTCAATGCCCAATGTCTTATGTTCCTTGACACCCATTTGCAACACTTATCGCCACATTAGTCAGCGATGTTTTGATCTCTTTCATGTCATGACCTTTAGATTGTGCGCAATGGATCAGAAAGTCTCTGCTCTAATTGGACATGCCGTAGCTACCACTTTAAATTTGACCCATGGAGGTACATGCAACTTGAGTACATTCTTAAGTCCGAAAAAATACGTGGACTCAACTATTTACGCCTACACATTTAGAAGCGTTTTGCGACTATTTCAGTCTTTAAAAGAGAAACGACCCAGACCTACCTGTCTCTACTTGATAACTGCTATTGTAAAGGAAATACAAATTGCAATACTAAATACAGTGCATCAATCCACCTTTCTACTGTGGAACTGAATTGGATCTTATTGCCAGCAGAAAAAAGTATCGAAATCTGCCGTATCTAGTTTCAGACTACACACTTATACGTTTCAAATTCAGTAACTCACCACACAAACAAATGCAACTACCAACAAGAAACAGCTGGATGGATCAAAAGAATCACTTGGAAATTTACCAGTTAGTGAAGTCTCTTCATGGGTTAATCTCATAACTAACGAAAACAATTACTCGAGAAACTTGAATTCCAATTCTGCAGATTTCAATCGGTCTCAACAAAATTTATTAAATCAGTATGTCTTTTACTTAGATAGACAAACAGATCACTGAATGTTTCATTAGCTAAAACATGTGGAATTACTTAACTAATAATGGATACAGACCAATAAGAAACAAGACTCGATACATACCAAATATAAATAGTATGCGAATAAAACAGAAAAAAAATAAAAGTATTGGGACAGGAGGTATGCATAAAGCTTATTGGAACCAAAATGATATGGAACAAACCTGAAAAATATTCACGATTAGATACTACTTCAACACACATTTCACGACATCTAGTAAGTTTTAATGGTAACATTACGAAGGCGTAAAATAAACAAATACTTAAACCATTCTCTGCAGAGTCTTGTATAATCTTTGGAATATACAACTGAACTTTCTTACCGAAAAATCTTTAGTAGATTTCTAGAGAGAAACACAAGCTAATTTGCATCAGCCTTCTGACTTCAAAACTGCAGCCCACGAAGATTTGAAAGACTGTCTGAATTTCGTCACAATGGTTGAAGAGATCTTGCTAGCAAGAAATACAATAGAAAGTGTAAATTAGTCGAGAATAAATTTAGATAAAACAGTGCAAAACGTGTGACACAAGAAAAATTGATGCTTCCTATACAGCTATAAAAAAATCACTATATAAGCTCGTCAGATAATCATCAAAGTGATTCAAGATGCAATTATGCGAACAAAATATAAAATAATATTCCCACGCTGCCTGATATAATATAGCAGCTCTTTTCTCTTTCTTCATTTCAAATTAAAATTTAAAATTAGAAAAGCAAAAAAACAATAGTGTACAGAGTGGATGACTAATTATTAAAATAATATCAACATTAAAATTATAGATTGCAAATATGATTTTCAACTGCTCTGGAATTACTTTATCCACGACTGTCATCTTATTTCATATTTTCGTGGAACGACTCAATTATTCGTTACAAATTTAAAATTCAAAAACTTCCACAGGACAAAAATTTTCTTATATGATGATTGCATTGTGATTTAAATTATTAGCTCAGAACATGAAAGAACTCACATAGAAATAATAGAATAAATAAAAAGTCTAATATCAATAACCAAGCAAACCACATCTAAAACATACAACCGAAACAAATATTTTTTAAAAATCAGTCAAACAAGTTTTAGCCAATAATATCAAAACTGCGAAACCTATAGTGCTCACATTTCTTCTTCTTCTTCATCCTCTGCACTATGCACGATTTCGACTTCACTTAAATCAGAACGATCGTCTGACTCATTTTTCACTTCAGTTCTACGGTTTCCTACCAGTCTTTCGTTCTGAAGTATTCTGGATGATGACGATCGCTCAAATGATGAACAGGCAGATTCTCCCTTAAAAAATTTATAAACCTGAATTCATGGTTTATTAATTTCGCAATTTGAATTTTAATGTGACACAACATTTTTGAAATCAAAAAATTATCTGCTTACAAACATACAATAAATGATAAAGTATAACAAACTCAAAACCTACCCCATCGTTTTCATTGAGTTCAGCTATAGCATCATCACTACTTGTATCACCATCTGCCAACTGATCGTGATCATTCTCCATTACGAAACGTTCTTGAGTTTGGTCATCTACAGCATTTTCAATACCTTATGTGAATAAACAATCATCTTACTCTCGTTCTAACTCTTAAAATACTAGTGATTTACTAAATTGCTATTCAGAATTTTTTTAAATAGAATTATAATTAAGCACCGAAACTGAAATTTTATATTAAAAGGGACTTACTTTATCTCCAATTACTACATCTCTTTCATCTCTCTGTAAGTCTACTAGCTCACAAAACTCGTTAAGTTTGCAAGGTATGACTTTTCTATAACAAATTAACTATCGCAGTTCGACATAGATCTTTAAATATTTACAGCCCTCTATAACGCATTGCTAAAGAACTTATCAATAATTAAAAAAATACCTTCTTGGTGGTCATCATCTGAATCAGCTTCTCCAATACCGTCTTGTTCAGGAATAGCGTCAACACTTTCTGTTTGATCATCATCTGTTGTTCCAATAACATCAAAAAACCGCCCTGACGACAAACTTTGCTTCCTGAAAAATGTAACCCTCATGACAGAAAACCAAACAATCCCTAAGAAAACGTGTAAGGTTTTAATGTGTTCACACACATATTAGAGATATTTAATGTGCGTTCAAGAAATAAGTAGTGAAAAATAAGGACGATGAGTTTCCTAATTCATTTCTGCAATCTTTGCCCTATGCAGAATTTTACAATTTAAGGTAATTTCCAATAAGGAATCATTTGAATATTAATGAAAGCTCATGCAATTTTTCGATGTCGGCAACAGTAGGTATTGGAGCATCAACAAAATACGCTGGGTAACATTCACGAATGATTTCTTTGATTTCGACTCGATATTTCCAACGTTCATCTATTGGATGTTCTTGACTGTTGTGTATATCACGGATATGTTTCACTACTAAGTCACGTGACTGATTTCCCTATAATGATGAATTTCAACCTTAAATGTTTCAAATTCTGGGTGAATTCAGTAATAATGCTTTTGAGTTGAAATTAAAGCTTCTTCAAACCTAACTGAACCTACACTGCCCACCAGAACAAAATTTATGACTGAACACAATCACTATGGACTTCCCTATTAATAGTCAAAAGAAAAACTAATTATAGTCAAATTTCTGTCCAAGTTGCTAACTAATTTTAGTTAGGTAGCAAAAATTCAATGAATGCCATAAATCTTTGACACTGAAAAAAAGTATTTAAGTATAAAAAATGATCAAAGACAGATTTTTAAAACGTATGATCTCAATTCTTAAATCAATTAAAACAACTTACAATATCGCATTGAGGACAAAGGAAAAGCTGGACATCAAGATGTTTGTAAGCATGGTCACTCAGTCTCGATGTGGTCAGCACTCCACACTTCTGCAAATTTATTTTAATCCAAAAATGCTACGAGCATTTGCTCGAAGTTCTCAAATTTTGATTTTTTTGCAAAATCGTCTATCAACCATTAAAATATTACTTGACAGTGAGCAGCTTCGTTGAAACGTTTTTTGAAATATTGCGCGCCTCCAAGACGCATACTAATTTCCCGCAATTTCGCCATCTCTTTGCGCTTTAATCTAGAAGGCAGTTTACGAATTCCAAATCGACGGTTTCTAGCTTTTCTCATCCGATCACGGTAAGATGATGTGGATGCGTGCAATCGTGGCATAGTACTTTCTACAGACGATTCAACTTGAAGCTGTGCTGGCTGCATCAATTCTGTAGCATGTGATGGTACTGATGCGTTTGCATCATTATCATCCTATAAAATTCAATGAACAAATAACGCTGAATTTAAAAATACTGTTTATACTAATATTTTTATCCAGTGCAAAGATCGCTATTTGTTCTCGTTCTACAGTTTAACTTGTAAAATGAAATATTGAAAGGTTATGCACAAACCGAACTACATATTGTCGCGTCTTCATTTTCTTCAGAAGTTGTAATAGCAGGAGCATCATTTTCCATAGTATCAGTAGTCGCTTGCATCTCACTGACTGCTTCACTTGATGGTTGCACAGCCTAGAAATGATGCTCACGAATATAACATTTAAAATCGGTAAATCCCTTTTTTTCTACAAGTAATAATCATCCACGTTAAATATGTTGCATAAAAATACATGAATATATGAACTTTTATATCGTCCGTCAATACTTATGATGGCAGATGATACTGAATTAATTAAATGACTGCATATCATTGATTGAAATCTACACACATAGATTCATGTGTGTGGCTTTATAGTTCATAGGAAATGAATGAAGTATAAATAATTCACTGCATTCAACTTCACAACTACATTTTAGAATTCAATTTATGACGGACAATATGGAACTATGTCAATCATGTGTGTAGATCAACATATCAGGAAAATTTGATTATAAAATTTGTCAAAAGCTTACCTTATTTTGCAAATGAGTATCATGGGGTGACTTCGACTGCAACCCAAAACACTGTTCAGTTACCGCCCTTACTTCGTCCGAATATTCCTAAAATATATGTGACTGCGTATTAAGAAACCATTATTTGTTGATAAGATGAAACAAATATCTATTAAATAAATGCATATAAAGATATTTATATCACAAAGTGAAATAATGCACAGTAAAGATCATAATAATGACAAACTTCAACTCGATCTTCACAACAGTCCTCAATATTGTGCTCTCTTTTTCCATGGCTTACAACAACTTGCTTCCGATCATGACCAAAACCACAAAATTTGCAAATGTAACGGTTGATACCAAGATCTTTGGACAAGTGCCACAAAACATGAAAGCCGCGCACCTGGAAATCGAATGCGCATTGGTAGAGATCGAGAAGTTCACATTAAAAAAACATCTAATTTGAAAACAGATGTAGGAGAATTACAATTGAAAAGACCTAAGGTTTCAACTATAGGTCTTTTCAATTGTAATTCAATTACAATCTTAATTTTTGAAAATTATCACCTATATAGCACTGAATTTCATAAATTTTATAAAATAATAAAATGTCCAATAGAACAATGCAAACTTCATCACCTTATTTCGAATCGGTCTTTCACACTTTTGACAGTGTAACTGATGATCATCGTCTGGCTCAGTCAACGGAACTGCATCTGATGTGGAAGGTACAGAATGAATTAGCTCTTGTTCCTGCTGATAGTTCTGATAATCTTCTGCGATACCACATTGATTCTCTTGTGCTACAGGAATTTTAGAAGCCTTGCACAATGTAGCATCTACAGCAAAAGAAGTCACTTGGTCTGTTTCGACAGGTGAAGCCTCAAATCAAGCACATCATACTTCACTAAAAATATTTTTTTTAAATTGCAATTTCAATTTTAACTTACTTTATCTACTGTTCTCTTTCTTTTCCTCGTTGTTCTTGGATTTCGAGTCCGTCTTGATGCCATTGAGTCATAAATCATTTGTGCACGTACTGCTGTTGGACCAGGCTTATTACCTGTTGTTCCAAGAAGATCCATTGATACTTCCTATAGTCATATAATTAACTTTCTTTTCGCGTAACAACTAATGGTTACAATACTTTATTTCTTTAATGTAATTTTGCATGCATAATTTTTAATGGAACACCAAACAAGACGTAACGGAAGAACTCACCTGAGAGATCTTGAATAGCTCAGCAGTACGATCTTGGATCAACATTGGATTTATCGCACCGTGTACTTTCGACTGATGATTTTCCATTTGATCTTTTCTGTAGTGCTGCACCTGGCACCCTGGATACTTACAGCGAAAACGATAGAGCTGCAATTCGTTGTAAGTAGCAATATATGTGATCTCAATACTCTTTTCAAAGATACATAAAAATGATAGAATGATGTGAGTCAAGTTATCATTTTTATGTTACAACTATCTTCAAAATTTTCTAGCCCTAAATTTTTCGATGATTCCATTAATGGCGAAATTAGCAGGTCAGTTAAAAAAGCGACCAAAAAGCCTTCATAAACTATGAAATAATGCTGCAGATGAACAATTCTGTAAACGCTGATATAAAAATGTAAAGCATTATAAACCTGGCGATCTCTTGCCATATGATAAAATACATGCATCTGCCGAGCCCCAGCAGTAATGAGTTGCTTGCATTTGCATATTCCCATCATGCGTCTTTTTGCCAAGCTAAATGAACAGTATTTTGAGTGAAATAAAAGTGTAAAGATTCTCATAAACACTTCAGCAAAACAAATTTAATCAATCTAGTACTAATTTTTTTACGTAATGAGATAAAATGGTAGAAAACCTGCTCTTAGTAGCTCTTCTTCGTTCATTTTTTATACTAGAGCTCACGCCATCTGCACTAGCATGACTACTAGTTCTACGACTTCGCTGTTTCCACTGACTAGATACACCTTCGGCACTAAATATTGCGGCAACATTTCCAAGAATCTCTGTCGTGTCATGATTCGCTGCCTCAAGAGCCATTGCAGTTAATAGTGCTTCATCAGACTGCTCAACCGCTAAACAATAAAACTTGAATGATGGACAAATGACCTTTACAATCATGACGATATACCCCAATTATGAACATTTAGTAAAGCTGTTCCTTAAATACGAATTATTTGTTCTACACTTGTTCATACGAGCCTTAAAGCTTCATATTTTTCACCTAGCAGCCACTCAATATTAGATAGAAGGATACTCTAAGCTGTTTTACAATCAAAAAGCGTAAAATATGAACTGAAGAGCAATCTAGATATTAAATGATTCTGTGAAATGAAGCTAATCCATTTCAAGAATGTTTTTGTGTCTCAGAGAGACCAACACATAAAATGTCAACCATATTTCAAAATCTAAATATTCAGTATATTTTATCTACCAGTAATGTTAAAAATTTGCAATCACCAGCTCTAGAACAAAGACTCTTGGAAGAATGCGTTGCACAACACTGATTAAATGATGAAGTGTTTTTTTAGTGAAAAGAAAAGCAGGCAGTACTCATTGAGCAAAAGTATAGTACCAGACGCAAATTGATATCAGCAATAAATTCAAAAAATTTTGTTCAAAATTGATGAATAAGGCATTACTGTATCAAAAAATGACAGCATGAGTTAATATATCATGAATAAGTTAGGAGTCAAGACGAAAGTCGCGGCTTATTTTTTCTTCATTTGTGGAAAATGAAAGATTACTCGACTGATCCATGGGAACATCAAATGCATTTTTGACTTCATGCCTGCTACTAGCAATATTTATGTATTCACTATCCACTTCTCCTCCTTCTGTCCTGTCTTCTGTACCGGATCCTTCTATCACTCCATCTTGTTCACCAACATTTTCATGCGTTGCGACACGTATTGCTGACAACACTGCGTCTGTATTGGTATTCCATGATATCGCATTTTCCGCACTACAAGAAATTTTTGATAATAATTAAGAAACTACGCAGAGAAAGAAAAACAGCATATAATAAAAATGTATTTAACAACTTTTGCAATAAATATTAATAAGTACTCTGTTCATAGAATATTATATGCCTATTTATGTAGCAATGGAATACGCAAAAAAAAAAAACTTAAAATATTCAACTTATTTAATAAGATTTGCTTAAACGTCGTAATATTGATAAAGCGATCAGAAAAAGGTATAATTCCGAAAAAATCACCTGGTAGCTCGTTTTTTCGGAATTACTGTAGCAGTAGCACCAATAGCTGCACCTGATGGGAATCCAGACCGTTGCTGATTAACTGCTCCAGGATCACGTCCGTTAGTCAACAAACTAATATTGCGCATGGGGTTTTCAGTAACTGATTCACGAGGAGGAGAGACACTTGATGAAGAGCGCTTATCCTAAATGAAACATTTACAAAAAAAGCGTGATCTAACGGTGAAACATTACTTTAAGTTTCTTTTAAAAAGGTTGAAGCATAGATCACAAATCAAACTATTATGTATAACCCAGTTCTGAGACTTCATAAAACATTAAAGACAGAATATTTAAACATTTACTGTTAATCATACACCATATTCATAAAGATTAATAAGTATATAGTGTAACTCAAATATTTCGGAGATCCCTTAGAACAATTTAATTTACATGTATAGTCCTTTCAATACTTTTCCTTAATGATTACAACACACAATGAGAAAAAAACTTGTTTTAAATATTATTCTTGACAACTATCTAAATCAAGTTCAGCATTACTTTTTATACATGATAATTAAGGAATCAGACCACATCAGTCGTTTGATTTACGAATCGCTCCCGTAAGTTATTTGTCAAGCACGTGGAAGAATGGAAATAAGGTGCTGATGTCGCTGTCGTCACGGTAGGAGACGGTTCAGAGCTACCTACCAAAGATGAGGACTGCACACGACGCGCAGTCATGAGGCAACGATCCATCATTAATTGAAGCAACCGTTTAGCAGTGGGATTGTCGTGGTAAACATAAATGTACTAAAAATATTTTCATCAAAATATTCCATACCATGTAATGATTAAACTCTTGCAAACCCGTATATTGCTCGCTAAAGCGTCATAATTTCCACTTATATCATGGACACCTTGTGTCCATATTTTCAACATTAATGAAGTTACATTGTTAATGAAATATCAAATTATTTAGTAATCAAACATCAGTTGTAAATATTAATGAATTTCTTCTGCAACTAAATTATTTTAATACATGAAGTCAAAATTTTCATCTCCCACAAACTTCCAAAATTCATTTTGATGTACTTTCTAATAAAGGTGATTCATTTTCATATAATGTTTGTAATGAAATTATAACTCATACTTTCTGATGTAGTTCATAACTTTTACGATGAGTTGAATGAACATGTTCACGTAACTGAAAATCGGTGGATCTTTCAGCAAGGCATTCAGTGCACTGGAAAGGACTCCAATGCAAATGTTCTACTTTTATGTGAACCTGGAAAACTTCACAATCTATATGCTAAATACAATTTCTGCAGTCATAAATCCTGAACACGATTTTTTTCGAAGAATCATTCAAATTACATGAATTTTGAACATCAGCAAAAATTCAGCATGAAATCGCTATAATAATTTAAAAGTGTACCTCCATTTCTTCACTACTCATTTTACAAATGCCACATTCAGGACAACGCAAAAAGACGGGTGGCAATGGCGGTAAATTGAGCATATTTGGCAAATACAATGTCGGTGCACTCGACCCATAAGCAGAACTGCCATCTGAATTTAGTTATATGCAAATTCCTACGGGTACTACTAAGACTTATGTAACTCGAACAACAGTTTCCTATTATAAAAAACTCATATCTGAACTTCTCAATTTCCATTCAATTTTTAAGAACGGACACCACTATAAAAATATGGTAATGTCTACATTATCAATTTATTTATTCATACTTCAAACTTATGTTCCACAATTTAAAAAAAAAGAACTGCCATATATATATAAGAATTAAAAAATGGCGTACTACTGAAGGATGAGAAATTTTCTGTTCCCAAAACATTTGACCACATGTCCATAACCTCGCTGGACACTTGCTGAAATTTCTCTTAATTTCAATAGGTTGCATGAAATTCAATCATAAATGATGTGCAATAAAAAGACATATATGAGCAACTACTCTGATCAATTAAACCATTGCATCTTACGGCTAAAAAATTCGAAGCAAAAACTAACTGTAGGTTGGAATGTACCGGATGGAAAACCCCGTCCCATGAATTGTTGCATCTCCTCTCTGGATCGTTGTTCAACTCGTCCCGATCCATTTGATACGTTTCCTACTCAAAATTGGGTGGTAAGTTTGTGAAAAAAAAATTCATTTCTGGTGTTGCAACCACCTTAGTTAAATTCAAAAAAACCTATAATACGCTGATGTAGCACGTCAGGTCTATCACTGTTCACAGCCAACAATAACTTGTAATAACAGAATGAAAAAGCAACTGCTTCGAATCAATCTGCTAAGCTTATCCTTATCCTATCCTACACACAACTATAATTGTTTCAGTTTCAGAATGAAACATGTTGAGAAAAAATTGACTAATCTCTAAATGACGAAACTTATAAAAACATAAATTATCGCCACTTGTCATATATTTTCGGTATTATTTTAAGAATACCTAGAAACTATGGCACTTTCACATGCAATTATTTGCTGTGTAAGAACATGCTGAATTTTTTTAGTCAACGATGCCTAATGAATATTCTACCAGTTTTTTTATCATTATGTAATGCAGAATGTTAATAGATTCATTGAAGACTTGACGAACGTATCAAATTATTTCTGACGATTTTAAAACATGAAAAAATATAGAGAGAATCAGCTCACAGTGTCACAGTGATTACTTTCACCGCAATTCAGCAAACGAAATTCAAATAGCTACTATTTCATCTCAAATTGTTGTAGTTCAGAGATAGCCAACTTAATCAAGGCCGTTGCATATCATCACTCTAACGATTCCAGAACTACTTTTATACGACCTTGACCAATCATCAGTATATTACACGTTTGATCGAACGAAATGAAAATTATGGATTTCCCTCAAGTATCAAGAGCAATTGCAAGAATCATTCAAAAAATGTTATATATATGATTTATTTACCTTGAGTAGACAACATTAATCGTTGAACAATGCTTTCTCGAATATTTGATGGTGCAGTACCTGATGTACTGCGTTGTAATGGTGCAGATGCTCCACCACGAAGCATCTTTGCTCTTAGATTTCTTCCACTATTTAATAGTTTGTTTCACTAGCGATATGATTAAAATCTAACGATCAGATTTAAAAATCAGAATAAAAATGAGGATATATTCTTTTGATCTGAAATCAGATGTGTTACAGGAAACAGTACATCTGTCATTTAACTTATGCCAGCTACGCGTCTAAAAAAAACACTGAATGTGGAGACAAAAAAATAAAGCACTAATTGATGCATACTTGTTATAGCCAAAGTTTCACTTCTATGAAGCAAAAATGA